CGGACGCGTTGGTGGGGAAGAAGATGGGGCAGGTGGTGGCACGCTAGGAGCGTAAGGGGGCACAGGAGGTTGTACATTCGCGTCGGCAGCAGCATCCATAAGTTGATTTGCTCGCAGGAGAGTGAGTACTTGTTCCAACAGCATTTCAGTACGGGAGGCCGAAGTCGAGGCGTGTGATGCAGCATGGCGTGGTGACTCAACACGTTCGTCCAAAGGCAAGGAAGATGTGGGATGATCCATAACGGCATGGGCAGGGGCATGGCTTTTCACAGCGGCTGAATGTTCACGAAGTTGTATGTTGGCAAGTTTGAAAGCCAAAGAAGACCTGGTCGGTTGGCCTACGTCAGCGGGAGGGCGTAGAGCAAGCGGTGAAGAACAGAGAGAACCGTCTTCTGAAGCATCCTTGCTTTCCCCCAACAACCCAGAGCTACGAAAATTACCTCGATCACACATCACTTGCCTGTTACCGTGGCCTGACCTCCGTCCCCCTTTTCCGCCGCGACTGTTGTTAGTGCTGGTCGCCCTGCTATTGCCCCCGCTCCGGTTCTGGCTCCGGCTGCGGCTACGCCTAGACGAAGGTGCGTTTCCCCCACGACGGTCTCCGCTCCGGCTGCGCCCACGCCTAGACGAAGGATTGGTGCGCTGTTGACGTTCTGCGCTCCGACTCCTGCTCCGGCGATGGCGACTCGCCGGCGAAGACCTGGTAGGCGGGTTCCCCACAGCCCGCCCTCGCCTGTTATCTCCGACGCCGCGCCCTCGCGAAGACTGGGTGGAGCGGCGGTGGTCGTCCGTCCCGCTCTTGGCCGTCGATTCTTGGTCACCCCAACGGTTGTTCCAGCTCTTAGACATAGGAGCCGCCGACCGACTGTAGTCCCTGTCCTCTCCAGAACCATGTACAGGGCGTGAAGAGGCCTGCCGGGGGGCTTACAGATCGTGCTTGAAGTCGTTGTTGGATGCAGCACGAGCAAGAGGCAGCTGGAGTACTCCATCTTGTGTCACCACCGACGTTCCTTGAGGACCGCTGTTAAAGGTGGCACGACGGAGAGCGAACAAAGCCGGAACACGGACTGCCGCGAAGAAGGCGGAAGTTTCGCGATGTAGGGGGTATGGTAAATGTGCCCGAAGGCAACGGTGTGCAGTTGGGAAAATTGCGCATGGACGAGTTGTTTTTTGCCAGCCCATGCAAAAAGAGCTGCCAATTTGTCCTCATCGTGGAACGTTACTTCGTCTGCAGGCATCTCCAGCGCGCGGGACAGGAACGCTGTATCTCCAACGTGGAAATCGTACACCGTGATTGCCGCCGCAAACGATGCTCCGTCTTCAGCACCGGCCGGAAGACCCAA